TAAATTATGAATGATCCTGGAATTCCAAAATTACATTTCTTCACATAACATGATGACATTTAGAGTAACTGATAAGCTTACGAGATGCCTAGTTTATTTATTTATTTTATTATTTGGGAAACAAACAGTTTTTACTTTGTTTACAAGATTATAGTACAAAAAAGTTACTTCTTAAACCAGTAAAGTTTCCACTAATAAACATAATTTAAAAAAGAAAAACGAAAAACGACTTTTTTTTAAACACAAAGAAAATAAGAAAAAGAAACATAGAAAGAAATAAACTAAAAAACAAATAACATAAATTATTGTTCATAAATGGACTTTGCAAATTTTGAAAAGGACAAATAAAACATATCTACATCTAAATGATTCTTATTGTACGCATTACAAGCGCTAAACAAGAAAGCGTTACTTAAAAATTTAGTTTTACAAGCAGGCACACAAAAGACCTTTTCAAACGAGAATTAGATCTAGGACATCTCTCATTAATATTATGTAATAAAGAGTTAGAGTCTTATTTCTCAAAATATTATATAGAAAGATTTGGTCCTTCGCGGCGCGTCGATTTTCCACTGTCACTATGTCATGATTAGGAAACGACGGATACTTATAACTTAATAACTTCCTAAATTTATTCTGAATGCGCTCAATGCCAGAAATAGAAATATTATACTGAGGGTTTCAAACAGTAAATGCATATTCTAGAATAGACCGAACGCAACAATTCTATAATAGAATTAAAGTTTCAGGATTAGGAAAATCTCTGCCTGCACTGGAGATTAAGCCAAGCATCCAATATGCCCTATTAATAACTATATTAATATGGCCATCAAAAATCAACCTATCATCCAGAAGCACACCCAGGTCCCTCCGGAGATACTTAGTTATTGAGTTTCTAGCTACTTTTCAATATTTTTGTTTTCTGTATCAGAAATGATAATAGATTTTGGAAATGAATGGTTCAGATCTTTTTTTATAATACCAAGTAAGGGGAAGAACAAGTCGTGCTCCTGGTGGTAAGCGGCACGCCTGTCCATGACAGTTGCATTAACACTCAAAGCTTTGAGTCACAAAGATGCTGTACCTGCCGCAGCTGCATTACTCCACGAAGTCTGAGGAGATAGTGGAGTATATCAGACATAACGCCAAATACACTCTGTACGTGTATATTTATTTTATCGAACAGACCATCAACTGACTAAGTGACACGCTTGTAGAAGCGCAGCTGCAGCGCGACAGTCGCACCACGCGCGCCACTTTCACAGAGTAGATCATCATCCACGTTGCAACTGGGCGAACCCGATACGTCTTTTGCCTATCCTCGGCCACCAATCAGTCCATGCCTTGCTTCACCTGTGATCACCTTGCCTTGCTATGTGCCTCGCCCAACCTCATTTGAGCTCTATGATCCGAGCATCGTGGACTTTCTTCTGTCGTTGAATTTCAACGTTCGGAACTCGGCCTACAACGCTGATGCCGGACATAGCGCGCTTCATGGCCCTCTGTGCAACTCTCAACCTGTGTACAGTATTCTGCGTGAGCGTCCTTCTCGGTGTCTAGCCAGACTAGATATTGAATGAAATTTAGTAGTGACGGCTAGAAGAAGACGCCCTAACTTAGTCAGCTATGCCTATAAGACCTGCAAAGAGTCTAGAAAATACCTTTGAGAAAAAAACAAACACAAGCGATTTTATTATTGATTATTAATTCAATGATCGAACACACAGAAAACTGTTTCGATCCGATAGGACATGAACTCACGACTATACTGCACTGTAGCATTACTGTTACAAATTGAGCTACGGGTCAATTTATCGATTTGTCGAAAATATCTTCTTTGTTTTTATCAAAGATCTTTATACTGGATATTTCGGCATTCCAGTGACATCTAGTGAGTTTCATTTCGTGTTAAGCAATCACGAAATCGCGAAGATCTCATTGATGTCACTGTTTTTACCTGGTGTTGATAGTGTATAATCCTTGTTCTATGTGAGTATGTGATGTAGCGGTTTCGTGATTTATGATATGAAGACGCGTTTGACAGTTTCGTGCATAGTAAATGTAGACGTGTTCTGATGCATTTATGATACTCAGCAATTTTCTGACAAAAGTTAACTGATTAAAAAAAAATTAATAACCAATGAAATAAATGCCTTGAAAAGTGTCAACTAAAGCAATATAGCAGCAATTCGAGATAGTCGCACACTGAAGCTAAGGGTAGAAACAGAGAAGTAGTTCCGACATTTAATGTACGAGGTGGAATATTTTAAAACATTCGATCAATGTACGCTGACATGTAGGTACTCTGTAACGCCAATTCTCGGACATTTAAAAGCAGGTCGTAAAATAAGTTATAAAATTCAAACTTAACTGCTTCTGGTAGATTTTTAATCGTAAGGACTAACATGCGATAACGGTCCACAATTTTATGATCCCCGAGCTAAAGCGTATGTTTGTATGAATATGTCAAATTGTAACCGACCATAGTTTTATTGATCCTCGTGTCGGTGTTTCTAAACTTCAATTTTTGGGTTACCATCAATTAGATTGTTTACTTGAGAACTTATCATGTTTTTTAGTTCCCCGGAAATAATTCACCGACATGTTCAATTCTCTTGATGATAAGCAAAGACTTTATACATTTATAGATACGGTACAATGTTTCGTAATTCACTGCAACCTTGATCGAATACACACAACTTACTGCAGTACAGTTACAGAGTCTCTACCTTGAGTTTCCAGTGACAGTTGTTAACAGCGACCGCAGAAAAGATTTGTTTCTTACTTCAAAAAGGTTCTGTAAAATATGCTAGCGACATTCCTGTGACGTTTTAAAGGTACAGTTGTCAGTTTTAAGAAACAACGGCAGCACGAAGATGTCCAATAAAAGTTTGATATGCTTTCGCGTATACCCAAGCTTGCGCGTATTAAACCCTTATTTGGGGCAATGTTGTTTGAAGTAGTTACATGCAATACGCACTAAACCCCGAATTTGGGAGTTGTTAAATAATGCGGCACATTAGTTCACGCATGCACACAAGCAAGTACACACGCACGCTTGCGCACAAGGGCGCGCGCTACACATAAAGGCTCTCAGCTCATTGTAGATATGTATAAATTACCTAATTTGAATTATTTTGTTTTTTGGGTTTTGTTAAAATTCTGCTTTGTTAAAAGTATGTCTGAGTTAAGGAAGAGCGGGGCCATTTGAGACAAGTATTTAATTACTAAAAGCGATAACCACACGGGGCACGCAATGCTTGATTTCAACGCACCGAGTGCCATACGAGCAATGGGGTCTTGCAACGAAACGCCGTTTACTTACGTACCGCACCATGTGACGTGTAGTTCTAATTTATATGTAGTACAACGCAGCGTCACCGCTCAGATGTCGCATCGCTTTTAAATACATTGGCAACTTCTGTTTGTAGCTATGCCAAATGTAAATCTTAATACTATAGTTAAATATTGACCTATCTCGATTTAATATAATCAAAGCTATAGTAATTATAATTAAGGTTAGATTTTATTACAACGATAAGACATATGTCTTCGTTAATTGTTTCCCGCATACGTAAAGATCGACACATTGCTTTGTAAACTAACTTTATAGACCATTTTCTGTAAATAGCAATCGCTCTTTGTGGCACCTTAATTTTGTGCATATTTTACTAAGTGAGCGTCCATGTTTCTGCACCGCAGGTGAGGATCGGCAAGACACATTGGTTATTGACCTTGGTCTTCAGGCATTATGTGAGTTTCGAATTAAAGACGTCATCTAGCTTACCAAGTGCAGTCCAACCCAAACCGATACGCCTTTTGTTACTCCTTAACCTGATCTTTTTGGTCAAAGAATAAACGATGACCAAGATAAGTTTGTTAGGCGATTGGTTTGCTTCGTGCAGTTCAGGGAGCATACTCTGGAGATCTGGGATGTTTTCGGCGGAATTTATGAGATCATCCGAGAATCTACGGTGCGTCATGCGTGTCCCACAGATGTTGACGCCTCTCACGCTTCAATCCAACGTCTTCAGACCCAAATCTATCCAAAATCTGCCACAACATTGGTGAATAATTTAGCCGAGAGAGTGTCTCCTTGTCGGACGCCACGGGCAATAAGTAACATAGTTACTAACATAGAATTAAATGCTACTAACAAACTACGAATATTAGTTTTAAATAAAAGATTGTTATTATTATTATTGTAGAGCATTTTCTATAAATAAGTGTTATTTATCAACCTGTATGTTAAGTTCATAGTTCTAAGTAACAAGCACTTTTTAGCCGTGGGGCGACGGCTTAAGAATACATTGTCGCCTCCCCATACATGCCCGTGGGGGTCGTAAGAGGCGACCGAGGGCGTCACAAGTGTCCATCTGCTTAGCATTGTGGTAGGCTCTGTGCCGACTGGATAGCGACCACAGTACACACGGCGGAAAACCCTCCACAGTGAAACGCTTTTGCGAATCGCGTTCAGGGATCAGTTGGTGTACATCCAGTGCATTTGGCCAGACCGGCAAAATGATAGTGACGGAGTGAAGATATTTGTGTTTTCCATCCGTTACTCTCATCTCTGGACTGTATTCGCACTTTCCATCAGGCGCGGTGCAGTCATTTTGTCGAGTCGCAATAAAAAAAAAAAAAAAAAAAAAAAAACTTAAGTTTCTATCTTAGTTCTGGGTATTGTACTAAGGATTACTCCTCATTTCCAGTCGACGGATTTTTTCTAATCTTTTAAGTAAAGAACTATCTCTATGTTCTATACTTATTTATTACATTTAATTGATATAAGTCGCACTCTAGTTCATAATGTTCATAGTTATTTACGAAGTATCAACTACCAATTTCATTTTAAAAAATTGTTCTTTAACATATTTACTAAAATAGTAGATTATGACTGTAGCTTCGCACTGAGATGTAAGGGAATGCTCGAATATTTCACCTGGGTCAGTTAAAGTTATCAGTCAGATATCATTGTTCAAGTTCAAAGCAAATTTCAATTAGCGTTGTATACGTTTTCTCGTAAATATCTGTTTATTTAATTTTGTGCTGTTTGTCATCGTACCTAGCCTCTTAAACATCAGCATCGTCATGTTTCGTTCATTCGTCTTTTTTCTAAACTTCGCTAGAACCACCTTAGGTATAGGCACGTATATGTCCATTAAATCTGTAGTTTCTCTTTGCTTGCCTTTAATTGGTCTTGTGAGTGTGTTATAATTCCCAGGTTTTATCCCATCACTTTCGTTGCTTTTTTTATTTTTGCCTTTTTCGTCTTTTGCGTGAACTGGATAAAGAGTCATATTTGTAATATTAGATTCATTTTTTCTAAATTCAGGAATTCCTTGAGATTTTCTATGCTGTCCGTTACCATGCTTTCTGGATCCAGGAGTTCCTTGATGATTTGAGATTGTAGTAGGTTCAGAAAATTCAGTTGACTTTTTATTTCTTTTCTCGTCGCCCAATTTCCTTTTATGTCTAGAAATTTTAGTTAACGTCCATAACCTCTCATTGTCCTGTGGACTAGAATTAATAGGACCAAATACATAAGTTTTCTCTACGAATCCTTTAGAGTCTGCGTCTTTGTACTCTGCAGGCTTTATGTACAAGTGTTCTATATTAGTTATGTTGACTTTCAACTTGTTTGCTAATAAACCTGTGAATATTTTCAAATGATGATTATTATTTGTTTAAGATGCATTTAGATTTCATTACAGACTATTAAAGATCCCAAGTTTGATATTCATATACTGAAATTTTAATAAAACCGGCGAATTAATTACTTGGAAAATGATTCATTGGACATAAAAAAATACAGTACAAAGCGCCATTACCTGTGACGTAAAAATCATCGACATGAATATATTGCGTGGTCTTTGAGGCGGCAACCATACGTAATGCAATTTTCTGACTGTACAATATGAAAGACCCTGGAATTCCAACAATTTTACATTAACACTACCGGCCATCTTCTTTACATCGTTCGTACATCCAAAAATTATCTAATTTCAAATTAACGTTTACGTTGAAGGTTAAACATGTGCGGCATTGCTAATTGATTAGGGACAGGGGGTTTTTCCGCCCTTATAAGAGTATGTGGTACGTCGTTAAATATATACGCCATATTTTAAGTTAAATATGAGTGAATGTCAACTTACCAGTACAATATTGTGGGTATTTATCTTGTTCATATTCATCTCTGCTTACAAACCATTTGTTATATTTACTTCTATGCACCATCAAGTTACTGTTAAATTTACAAGCTATTAATTCTCTGTCTACTTCTGAAGAAAAGTTGTTTAATAAAACTTTTAATTCCTCAACATTTACGAAAATATCATCGTCAATTTTCAACACAAACTTAACGTTTGAACAGTATTGTGTTGCCCATTGTAAACCCATTACATGTTTATATGTTAAATTCTTATAAGTATCTATAAAGTTTCCTTGAACGATGTCTTTATATTTGGCATATTCAAGTTTGATTGTTTCTTCAATAACAACATCGTCGATTTCACCAAAAAGGAATACCAATTGGAAAAAGTTTCCATCCTGTACCCACGTATTTCTTATAGCTTGTCTTTTATAATAATTATAAGGTGAAGATGACACTACAATAATTGCAAGTAGAGGATCATTTTGACATACTAATGAATTTCTTAAAAATTTGAAGTTTAACAAATCAATTAGTTCGCTTCGTTTATTTGTGGTACCATTGAAAATTCTTAATGTAGTTGTATTTCTAATTTCCGTTTGCTTTTTGTTATCTTCTATAGGTTTGTTGTCTTTTTTGATATATTTCAAAAACTTCCATAGCGTTCTAATGTTATCAGGAGTGATACTTTGCGGTCCAAACAGAAAATTTCCCAAATTTTCATCGTCATCGTAAATAAGATCATCGAATCTATGCTGCTCTAACGTCAAATCACTTATATCTGTTATATTTATTTTCAATTTCATTGACACTGTACCTGTAAAGACAACATTGCTAATTATGTCTCCGGCAAACACATCGAAAAAATACACTTCGTTACCTGATCTCACATAAACTTCTCAAACCTATTCCTAGTCATCAACATTGTCATCATTGCCGCCGACATTGGGCGTAGGCTAATTATCATATTCATGAGAATAGTTTATAAGTAAATATAGAGGATAATAATAATAGTCCATAAAGGGGTTTACAATATCCAGCTCTAAGGGTGAGGAGGAGAATATCCGGGCCTATCAGTGAAATGTAAAATTGATAGCTACCCGTAACATAAACGTTGTTCAAGTACAAATATGGTGAAGTTCTTGAGGATTCCACTAACCGTGCCGCAGAATCGGGACTATAGATTATGAACAAACCTGAAATATAAAAAAAGGACGGTAATAAAAGAGCAAAGTATAATATGCACTTTTTTAAATTAAAACATACACACACACAATCGTGACCGAAGAATCAATCTAGCCTTGAGTGATCCTAAATTATTCCTGCACCATTTATTTGGTTAGTTTTTGCGTTAGGAAATTTGTAAACTTCCTGCCCATACTCCACGAAATGCATCCGATAGAAAACCGATAGGCTGACCATTTTTCTCTTCTCTCTCTCTCTCTTTGCTTTTCGCTCCACCGAGTTATGATCAAATATGATCGAATTTGTGTTTTATAGTGGATATATTTAGAAGCTGTTCAGGTGTGAAGTGCTACGTAATTTTAGTTAAGCACTCAATTTTAGTCAACAAAAAAATTAGTTAAGCACTCAATGTAGCGATCAAAATTGAGGTTGGGTGATAAGTCCAGACTAAGTAGCTCTAGGTGGTCATTTGTGTGCACGAACATTGAACACGTCTCTGAAAATAGTAATGATGTGGAAGGCATTCCCTTTTGGAGACAAAATACACGCCTGTGTTTTGGCGGCATTAAACCTGTTGGCTTTATCTCGGTTAGAAACCGCTTTCAGTGTTTTTCTTTTTTATGAGTGGTGAGCGACACGTCTATCCATAACAGTTGCAGTGCACCTCAGATATTTAAGCCGCAACGATCTTCGGGGCACTGCCTCGTCACCCTGAGACATACGTTTTCAACTTTTCAAATCCCAAGTGCCTGCAATTTCACCAGCACCAAACTGGAAAGCGGTAATGCTCACTACTGCTTGGCGGCAGAAATAGACAAGGTGGCAGTAAGGGCTGCCAGGACAAACTTTTTCACAAGGAGCCCAACTGTTGCTAAACCATTGCTTCTCGTTTACACCGGAACTCTTCGCTGTTGACACGGACATCTGATGCAAAACTCTACCGGGCAACAGCAGCAGGTCGTTGATGTGCAACAAGAATAGAGCGGCAGAATAGAGTGTTGTTAATAACAAATTTTTGTACAAATTTTTCACTTACCGCTACAGCAAGTGGGAAAATGTTTTCTTCTGTACTCCTCTTTACTAACATAAAATGTGTCCGATTTACTCCTTTTCACCAACAAATCTGTATTTAGTCTGCACGCTATTAAATACTTATTTTTATTTCGAAGACGATGCTGTAAAACATTCTTCAATTCATCTATATTAACTACTATACCATCACTGGCTTTTACAATGAATTTAACATTAGGACAATGAAATAAAGCCCATTTTAAAGCCATAATATGTTTATAGGTTTCATTTTTGTCAGAGTCAACAAAATTGCCCTGTACAATATCTCCGTAAATTTCATGTTCAAGCTTTACTAGTTCCTTCGTTATTTCGTCTTCTGTTTCGCCTAACACAAATACTATTTTAAAATCTGCGTTCTGTTGTCCCCAAGTTATTCTAACTGCTTTTCTGAACTCGTATCTCAAAGGAGAAGATGTAACAACAATTATTGATAATATATCTTCCATGACGCTACATATTTGAGGGTTTCTCAAGTACTGAAAATTGTTTAAGTTTATAAGTTCGTTCGTATGTTTTAATGGGTTTTTTCTAAGTATTTGCATTTGCGTCCTAATTCTCTCATTGTTTGGTAGTATATTGTTTATGTAATGAGCGAATATGCTAAGAATAATTGTCGAGTAGCAGAATTTCAGTAGTAACGCGCAATGCCTTGCATTAAGTCTCCTGAGCCTTAATTTAAATTTCATTGTTAATAATTTAGTTGTTTACAGGCTTTTGGTTATAAATAAAACTATCCTTTGTATTCCAGAAGGAGTTATTTAAAGCGTACAAATGTAAATTCCATTTTGCTTGTCTTTCTTAAATTTTTTAATGTATCTTCATTTCTTTGTGACCGCCGTACCTTTGTAAATCGGTAAGTTATACTTTCTTTTTGAAGCAATCACTGGTTTGTCAGAAATTTGTAACTTCAGGATCTTATTCAACAGTCGATATTTTTTAGTTCCCCGGAAATAATTCACCAGCATGTCGAATTCTCTTGCATTTTTTGTGCATTGACTTTACAAATTTATAGATACGGTACTATGGTTCCTAATCCACTGCAACCTTGATTGAATATACACGCTTACTAGGTGTTTATCTCGTCTCTAACTCTGTTAGGCGGTGGAGTTTACAGTGACACATGTTAACAGCGATATTATATAATAAAATATATAATTAAATTTTGCAGCCTTAACATATTTCTGTCCAAATGTTTTTTGTGATACGGATAAGCTGTGTGAGTAATTGTTTAGCTTTACTTGAGGTAGTTTTGTTACACCTTGTTACATGCAATACATATTCTTGTCCCGACCATGTAAAATATTAAAAAACTTCCACCGTGTTCATCGCGAACGTAGATGTTAAAAGTAACCTAACACTATACACACTCACTTGCATAAATGCACGCGTGCACTCACACTCGTTGCATGCACGCACGGACATACACAAACACTCTCAGGTCACTTTCGTCATATTTAAATTTAATTTAAAATCGATAATCCTCGGACTAGTGTTCTGTTACTTGTAGTGTAGTGTTACTTCATTTTCGTGTCAATTTTTATTATTTAAACATTCGATTTTTTTCCGTGCATTATTATTTAATATTCGAGTATTGTATCGTGAAATATTATTTAATAATTACACGTTAATATAGTTAATATTTGATTTTTTTTAAATTGCCACGGCAATTTGGTAGTATTACTATTCCGGGAATGACCGAAATATGTCTAGGTTAAGGAAGGCAAGGCCTCCAGACACAAGCATTTAATTACCTAATAGATTAGTCTCAACGTTAGTTTGTATTATTTGGACTGTAACAAACATTTACTATACTTAAAAAGTTACCTATCTCGTTTTAATTAAATCAAAGCTATAGTAATAACAATTAAGGTTAGATTTTTATTGCTAAGTTTACGAGAGGAACATTATATGTCCAAGTTAATTTTTTGCAACTTTATAGATGCCTGCTGCCTACTGACAGTGCTGAAAATTTGACGGAATTTATAGAAGTGCTCAGTGAAATGAATGCCGTAATTGAGAGTAGTGACATCGAGTCTTTTATATTATACATAGGCTATTGTACTAGACGATTTTAACGCGTACCCTAAGGAATTATTTTATGAAGAATTGTCCGGTTTTTGTGACGAGCGAAGGTAGCTCTCTGTTGACGTGGTCAATCAGGGATATCATGTCACATTAGTACCTTTATTAGCGGTAGTCATAATTGTAAAAGGTGGAAAAATTTGGTTGATATAGTGATTCATTACAATGTTTTTTGGTCAGATCACATTCCATCATAGTTTAGCTGTAAACCGGGCAATATGATCCCAAAAACGTTGAAGTAAGAATGTTACCGATAAAGTACGGTGGGATGAAAGAGATAACCAGCAGGTACTTAAGTTCAGTGATGAAGTTTTTTTTATAACCTTAGCCTGAAGATAAGTTAAACTCAGAGCTTTAAATCGCAAAGATCTGAGGGGCACTACCACTGCGCCCGTCACCCTGAGACATAAGTTGACAAGTCCCATGTGCCTGTAGTTTCACCAGCACCCTTACCCTTCAAAACCGGTACACAGTAGTGCTAACATTACTGCTTGGCGGCAGAAATAGGTAAGGTGGCAGTACTACCCTGGACGAACTCTTTCACAAGGACCTCTACTGCTACTAAAATGTAATTATAGATTAAGAGCTATGGGTTTTCCAGCTGAATATAGAAATTGTACATTGTACATGTAAGAACACAGAAATATTATTGATGATTGTATCACACTATTGTCGGAACTTTAGGAGATTCAGTTAGTTATGATTTAAAAGAGCGTAATGAAAAACACAAAAAAGTGGAACAAATATGTTAAGGCAACTCAGGCTAAAAAGACTTCTGTATCACAAGGTAAACCGGCACGGGAATATGTATGACAGAATACGCTAAACCAGAAGGTACTTTAAGTCCAAATTAAAATGGTGTTAGGACCATGAAAATCAAAATAAAATGGTCATTTTAGCTACTCACCATTCCAAAAAGGATTTTAAAGGATTCTGAAAATACACTAAAACGTAAGACATTGGTGCCATGATATTCTGCAACAGTGCGCCATGTTAAAAAAATGTGAAGATCTAACACACATATCATTCCAGTTTTAAAATTACCAGCAGACTATTAAATAGTTAGCACATAATCATGAGTCCTGCCTCTAAGATTTGCCTGGACAACAATCAGTTACGACATTACTTACGGAAAGTACGCAATGAGACAATACGACAGTGACGCTCGGGCGGGGGAATCGTACGACAAGGCGTCATTAGCAGCGTTTTTAAAACAACCTGAAGTTCCGACCAAAATATAGACAGGTAGCTTATAAATATGACTTCGACCAAAAGAAAAAAAGAAAGACTGCTTTTTGGTACCAGGTTTTCAGAAAGATAAACCGGAACCTCAAATTTATTTATAGATTGTACATTACAAAGCAGGCGAAGTATTTTTATTAGTGTAGCATTGGCCATATTAAGCTGTTTGTAGATACGGTGAAACATTGTCAGTCCCTTTTAGGTATTCTAAAACAATAACGCATACAAGAATTTTGCACTCTTTGAATTGATCTATTAGTCTTAATATACAGACGAGGGCCGAAAACGACGTCACCGTATTGCAAATGAGGTAACAAACGTATTCTATTTTTATACTTATTTATTACATTTAGATAAATCTCCGGCATCGCAATCTAGTTAATAATGTTCACACTTATTTACGAAGTGTCAGCTTCAAATTTCATTAAATAAAATATTCTTTGTCGTATTTATTAAAATGATTTCTCGATTATGACTGTAGCTTCGTACTGAGATGTGAGAGAACGCTTGAATATTTCGCCTGCGTAAGTTATCAGTCAGATATTTTTGTTCAAAATCAAAGCACATTTCAATTAACGTTATATACGTTTTCTCGTAAATATCTGTTTATTTAATTTTGTGCTTTTTGTCATCGTACCTAACTTCTTAAGCCTAAGCCTCTTTATTTTCCGTTTATTCATCTTTTTTCTAAACTTCGCTAGAACCACCCTATGTATAGGTACGTACTTATCCATTAAATCTGTAGTTTTTCTTTCCCTACGCTTGTCTTCAATTGGTTTTGTGAATGGTTTAGAAATCCGATGTTTTGTCCTACCACTTTCGTAGCTTTTTTTAACTTTACTCTTTTCGTCTTTTGCGTGAACTGGATAAAATTCAGGAATTCCTTGAATAATATCTACGGCCAGTTCAGTATATTTTTTATTCTTTCCTTTACCGTATTTTGTGGTTCCAGGAATTTCCCGATAATTTAAGATTGTGGTAGATTTATTAAATTCCGTTGAACTGGTATTTCCTTTCGTATCGTCTGATTTCCTTTTATCTCTTGACATTTTAGTCATCATCCATAACCTCTCAATGTACTGTGGACTGAAATTAATAGGTCCAAATACATAAGTTTTCTCTATGAATCCTTTGGAGACTGCATCATAGTAGTCTGTTGACTTCATGTACAAGTGTTGTATATTAGTTACGTTGACTTTCAACTTGTTTGCTAATAAACCTGTGAATATTTTCAAATGATGATTATTATCTATTTAATTAGGTTAGGTATTAACAATCCCAGTTTGATATTCATATTGAAACTTTTAATAGAACAGTCTAACCAAGTAAGTTGGAAAATGTTTCATTGGACTTTAAAAAACAAAACAAAATGCTAAGTGCCATTACCCGTGACGTAAAAATCATCGACATAAATATATTGCGTGGTTTTTGAGGCAGCAACCAAACGTAATGCAATTTCCTGGCTGTACACTATGAAAGAACCTGGAATTACAAAAATTCATCGTTAAATTCGACGTTAACTCTCCCGGACACGTAAACTGCTTAGAGGGTTTAACAATTTTCCACCATTATATTAGTATGGATATCTTATTAAATTTATAATACGCCATATTTTAAGTCAGATACTAATGTCAACTTACCAGTACAATATTGTGGATATTTATCTTTTTCATACTCATCTTTACTTACGAACCATTTGTTATATTTATTTCTCTGCACCACCAAGTTATTGTTAACTTTACAAGCTATCAAGTCCTTGTCAACCTCAGAAGAAAAGTTGTTTAATAAAACTTTTAGTTCTTCAACGTTAACAAAAATATCGTCGTCAATTTTCAACACAAATTTAACGTTTGAACAGTGTTGCGTTGCCCATTGTAAACCCATTACATGCTTATATGTTAAATTTTTGTAAGTATCTATAAAGTTTCCTTGCACGATGTCTTTATATTTGGCATATTCAAGTTTGATTGTTTCTTCAACAACAACATCGTCCGGTTCACCAAAAAGGAATACTAATTTGAAAAAGTTTCCGTCTCGTACCCATGTATTTCTTATAGCTTGTCTTTTATAATAATTGTATGGCGAAGATGATACTACAATAATTACAAGCAGAGGAGTACTTTGACATACTAATGAGTTTCTTAAAAATTTGAAGTCTGACAAATCAATTAGTTCGCTTCGTTTGCTTAGAGTACCATTGAAAATTCTTAACATAGTTGTATTTTTTATTTTGCTTTTCGTTTCGTGGCCCTCTATAGTGTTGTTGTCTTTTTTGATATGTTTCAAAAACTTCCATAGCTTCTTAATATTGTCAGGAGCGACACTGAGCGGCCCGTACAGAAAACTACCCAAATTTTCTTTGCCGTTGTGAATAAGAGCGTTGAATCTATTCTGCTCTAACATCAAATCATTTATACTTGTTAGATTTATCTTCAGTTTCGTGGGCAGTATACCTGCAAAGACAATGTCGCTGGTTATATTCCCGACAAATTTTTTTGCCATTAGAACATTATTCACGCTGATGAAAAAAGTGTTTTTAGGAAACATCTTGCGTAGATGATTGAAAACAGCTGCCGATCAAAACCGAATGCTCATTCCCACTCTTAAGAGAAGGTTCATAAAGTGGTTCACGATCTCCAGCACAAAGAGGAAAAAACATAATACCTGTATTTAAGAAGTAAGCTACCTGTGACATAAATGTTGTCTAAGTACAAATATGGTGTACTTCTTGAGGTTTCTATCAACTGTGCTGCAGAATCGAGACTGTAGATTACAAACAATCCTGAAATATTAAAAAAGGCGGTAATTTAAAGATATAGCATCCAAATAATGAATGTTATTATTCAATTTATTTCGACACTCACCGCTACAAGAAGGTGGAAAATATCTTCTACTGTACTCCTGTTTACTGACATAAAATCTGTGAAATTTATTCCTTTTCACCAACAAATCTTTATTCAGTCTGCAAGCTATTAAATTCTCGTTTTTATTCCAGAAGCGATTCCGTAAAACATTCTTTAATTTATCTATATTGACTACTATGTCATCACTGGCTTTGACAATGAATTTTGCAGTAGGACAATAAAATAAAGCCCATTTTAAAGCCATAATATGTTTATAGGTTTCATTTCTGTCAGAGTCAATGAAATTGCCTTGTACAATATCCCCGTAAATCTCGTGTTCAATCTTTACTAGTTTCCTCGTCACTTCATCTTTTGAATACCCTAACGCAAATACTATTTTAAAATCCGCGTTCTGTTGTCCCCAAGTTATTCTAATTGCTTTTCTAAACTCGTATCTCAAAGGAGAAGATGTGACAACAATTATTGATAAAATATCTTTCATGACGCTACATATTTCAGGGTTTCTCAAGTACTGAAAATTACACACGTTTATAAGTTCATTTGCTTGCTTTAGTGCGTTTTTTCTAAGCATTTGCATTTTTGTCCAAATCTTGTCATTGTTAGGTAATATAACATTTGTGTAGTGATAGAAAATGTTAAGAATAATTGTCGTATAGCAGAGGTTTACTAGTATAGTACAATGCCTTGCATGACGCCTCCAGAGCCTTGGTTTAAATTTCATTGTTAATAATTTAGTTGCTTAACAGTTTTTAGTTATGAATAAGACCATTCTTTGTATTTCAGAAGGATTGTTGAAAGCGAAGAAATGTTCATTCCATTTTGCTTGATTTCTATATTTTTTTGTATATGCTTTTCACTTATTTGTTTCCATCGTGTCCTTGTTAAGATGTAAATTGTACTTTGATTTTTGTATTATTTTGCAACTTTCAAACTTATCACAAATTTGGAGGATTTTATTCAATGAAATGTAATGTTATATATCACCAGTATTAACTTATTTCGCACAATATAATTCACAAGGTATGTTATCAACACTCTGTTACTTTTATTTCTTAAAATACAACTTTATAAATTTATGGACACGACACTATTTTCGAAAACAAAGGCAGCCAACTCAAAACACAACATTGTTACTAGAATGTTATTTTGAAAATGTTACATCTTGTGACCGCTAAACATTGTTAATTTGCTATACGAATCGTGAAAAATTTTACACAGTCCCCAGAGACAACTGCCACTGTCACTCAAGGTAAGGCACAGTCTCATAATTTTGACAAACAGCGATGAGACAATTTCATGTGCCTGTAATTTCACCAGGACCCTTAAAAACCAGAACACAGTGATGCTCACATTATTTTTAGCTTACTTCCCTGGACGAACCTTTCACTAGGAGCTCTACCGCTATTAACCGATGGATGATGGACTTGCTTGATATATGATCTACCAAGTCAGTAGTATTACAGCAGAGCTGGAAATTCGTCCCGAGATCAGAGTAAGAGTATCTCATCGGATGCACACGTAATTTTTTTTTAATACCGAATTTATTTGTACGGATCTTAGTGACTGAAGAGGTGACAAATCATATTTAAATAAAAATTTAAATAAATTACTTTGCTATTCTCTGAATCTAGTGAAAGGCAAATCGTGGAAGATAGCTGCGCAAATGTTGCATTTTTTATGCAGTTAATTTTCCCACCTTCCTTCTGCATAAAATTAATAATACCCGTCACATGTTTCCCTTCTCTACTAGGCATTCTCAGGAATTGTGGATTCAATATATGTACATAATAAAAATTGCCACGGAAATAAGACCGAGAACACGGACTCGACAATAACTCAAGTGACCTATCTTTTACTCAAAATCAATGCAACAGTAAATACAATTAAAGTTAGATTTTATTGCTAAGTTAACAAGAGTTACTTAAAGGCCAATTTAGTAACTATATCCAATTAGGTAACATATTCTAATTGACCTATAGATTTGGTATTCAAAAGAGTTACAGTAGGTCTACTACCACCTACTGCGGGATGATGTAGAGGTGAAGTTACAATATCAGCTGTTTCACAGAAAGTTCCCTGCTGTCCTCTTTTAACTAAATCGAGAGTCCATAGTCATACTTGGTCTTTTTTTTGTTTGAGTTCCCAAGCTCGACTCGAAGCGACTTCTCCTACCTATTCTGGCTAATTTATCTGCTGCGTCATTGCCACGTGAGGCGCTGTGTCCTTTGATCCACTGTACACGGTAAAAACAGATTACTTAAAAAGACAAAATTCTTTTTATGAAGACAAATTTATTAAATCCAACAAAACGATCCTCTCTCTATAGACGCTAGAGAATAATTACTTGATAATAGTAAAAAAGGTCTCAAAAGTGTATTTTAGTTATAAGACAGAAATATTTTATCCAAGAGCAAATTAATTTACTTTAAGTCACAAAGCC